CTGGGCTTTGCACACAGGTTTGCAGTGCTGAGCATGAAGGCCCTGCTCTGCTGCCTGCACTGTGAGGATGTGGTGCATTCAGTGGACCACAATCGTGGCTGGGCGAGGCTCCTCAACGCTCGCAGCCGCCGCTACGCAGTGGCTGTGCTGGCCAGGTGAGACTCCCTTGTCCCCGCTGTCCCTGTCCTTTCTGCCTCCCAGAGTGCCCTCGATCCCTCCTGGGCTGGTGGGAAAAGACCAGGGCCCTGTGAGTCCGTCCTGGGAAAGGTTTGCCCACCCGGCTTGGAGTCAGTGGTGCCTTTTTCCCCCTGTCAGGGAGATGCGCCGTGTCTCCAGCCCCTTGTGTTCCCGCATCACACTCCACCTGCTGGAGCTGCTGAGCAGGGAGGAGCCGTGCTGGGACCTCCCTGCCATGGCATTCCTTGTGGAGGTGAGCCTGATGGCGAGCGCTGCCTCACCGAGCTACCTCCACCTCTCTGGCCTCTTGGAGGGCCCAGCCCTGTGCGGGTGCGGGCTCCTGCCAGCTGGGCACACCATCACTGCTCCATACCTTTCAGGTCCTGGACTGCCTGGACACCAGAGAATGCGGTGACAGAGTCCTGGAGATCCTCTCAAGGAACCTGGGGAGCACAGACAAAAAGTGGCGTCAGCTGGGGCTCAGAGTCCTCATAGCGCTCAGCCAGGATCCCGTGATGGTGAGAAGGGGCAGTTGGCTGAAGCCGTGCTGGAATCCTGGGGCTGGGGAGTGCAGTCACTTGGGCTTGGCTGGGCTTCAGGAGCTGTGGCAGCTGCTCCCAGCTCTGCTGCCTCCCTGTTCAGCTGCCCAAGTCCCTCGGCACAGTCCTTTGGCCTCCGGGCCCCGCGGCAGCACGTGGGGCTGCCCTGCCGGAGCGAGGCTGGGGCTGCAACCGTTCATGGCTTCACAGTACAGCCTTGTGTTCCTCACAGGCCAAGCGCATCTGGAGCCTGTTGGATATCCTGGTGCAGCTCCTGGGGGATGAGGACAGAGATACAGTTTGGATGACCCTCTCTGTGCTCGACAATGTGCTCTGGAGCAGTGTCTGGACACAGCTGCAGAAGAGGGTCCGCAGCAAAGACCCTCTAATATCCACCCCCACCGGCCTGCAGTTGGCTGAGGCGCTCCGGCCACTCTTTGACCACGTAAGGCTCTGTGCCCCACCATGGGCTCTGGGTGCTGCTGGGAAACTTTGTGCCCTGTGAATTTTCAGGTCTGTGCCCGGTGGGGCCTGGAGAAGCTGAGGTCTTTTCTTCTTTCTTTCCACCAGGAGGACAGCAGTGTGCGGGAGGGCTCCATGGTCATCTTCACACGTGTGATGACACTGATAGTGAGAGCGGGAAAAAGACCCCTGAAGCCACACGTGTGCCTGAGCCTGCTCCCGCTCTACTTCCACCGGCACGATGAGAACCCGGTCGTGAAAAAGGTGAGGACTCGTGGGCTCTGGTGTCCCATGGGAGGGGGCTGGGCTGCCTCCTGTCCTGGCACATCGTGGGCTCTGGGCTCCAGCCTCCTCCTGGCCTTGGTCCAGGGACACAGGTCCCGTGCCCTGGGCTGCAGTGCCATGTCCTGGTCTCTGTTGCTCTGCAGGCCTCTCGGAAAGCACTGCTGGATGTGACCAGGTTCCTGAAGAGGAGGGATCTTGGGCGCCTGGTCAACACAGAGGAGCCATGGAGTTTTGGCGAGTGCCTGGTAAGGACGGCCCCAAAGCCCCAGCCCCCGATGCCCAGAGTGTGGGGCTGGCACTGTGCCTCTGCCCACTGCTGCACCCACCTGTGGGACAGCAGCCTGCGCC